TTGCTCTCCTTCCTGAGCCTGGGACACTGCACCGCAGGGCTGAGGAGTGTAGATACCTCGGCCCCAATCCACAGCTTCCTGGGGCAGCCCCGTGCCGCCTGTCTGCTCCCCCCCTACTTCATCCAGCCTTTAAGGTGAGCATAAACAGTTATGCCTGATGTAATTTTCTAAGTTCTTTGCCATTGTTTTCCTTTGCTTCATTCTTTGGCTCACTTGTTACATGCCCCTAAGTTGTACCCTTGACTTATCCACAGGCTATATCAAAATCCTTAATTTTGACACCAAAACCTGCCCTTGACTTATACATGAGGTCGACTTATAGTTGACTATATACGGTAGTTTTAATTTAAGATTGTTTATTTCATAAACGTTAAGATACAGTGGTGGGAAGCTAGAGACTTAGGGATAAACAGAAGTTATTATCTGTTCTGTCACAGGAAGAAAGCTTAGAGAATGTGTGCAGTTGTAAAAAGTATATTTTCCATTTACAAATGCTGTCCAAACATGCTGGTATGTTTGCCAGAATAGTTTGCATTTTATTATAAACATTCAATCAAAGTGTTCATACATACACACACATGCCATAATTCTCAACCCGGGGGGGGGGGGGAAGGTATTATCAAGTGATTTCCCAGAGAAGCATTCAGATTGAACTGGATCTGCTATTTCCTAGAGTACTGAAAGTCTCCTCCTAATTGCACAGAGAACAGCTTTTAAGTGATATTTACATTAATGTAAAAATATTGTATACACATCATCTATATTTTTCATCAAATGTTCCACTTGTTTTGAAAGTGTGGTTTTAGTTGGAGACATTACTGTAGGAATGGCATCCATGTTTATGCATGCTCAGTTAGCCTGATCAAATTTTCTCACGGAAAGATTTTTTTAAAAATATTTTAACTTCTTACCTCACAGACTCAATTTAAGGCTACAGACAGAACTGTTACCTTACTAATCTTTGTAACTTGTTTCCGATAATGAAGATTTTTATAGATAAAATGCAGCCAGCAGATTTATTCACACATGAACAAATTTAATAAATATTTCCATATGTTGGTATTTTCAAAGTGCTTGAAAGATAGGACACTATGACAATTAGACAATCCATAACAGACACACATTGTTAACCCAATCTAATAAGAACTTCTAAAATGTCCCAACTGAAATTTCTCCTTGAGCAACATTTACTGGCAGTGAGGGACATGTGGGTTATCACTAAGAATTTGTATTAGTCTTATATTGAATCTTTTTTTCTTTTTTCTTTGCACAAAATCCCTTCAATATTTTAGGATCTTTGTATGTGCATGTGGTGGGTGGGCATGGCAATCAGTGCCAAAGTCCTTCATGGTTTACACATTTTGTAATAATGGCTTATAAGGTAAAGGTTGTCAAGTCATGTCCGACTATAGGGGGCGGTGCTTATCTCTGTTTCTAAGCCGAAGAGCCAGCATTGTCAGAGACTACTTTGTGATCATGTAGCCAGCATGGTTGCACAGAACTCTGGTTACCTTCCCATCAAAGCAGTGCCTATTTATCTACTTGCATTTGCATGCTTTTGAACTGCTAGGTTGGCAGAAGCTGGGACTAGTGACAGGATACAATATTTAATGTACAAAATTAATTGGTGGAATGGTCAGCTTGTGAGCCAGCTTGGGTAAGGGAGCTGCCACATGGTGGTTAATCCCAAACAAGACAGTGGAGAGAGCTTTAACTGTCTCATCTTTCCACAGATGCACCCAGGTGGAATGGTTGCCAACAGAATATGTTTTGGCTTACTTGAAACATGGACTAATTCTCCATAATTAAATACTCTGGAAATTATTCTGAGTTTTTTGTCCCCTTCTGATAGTTTATTTGGATAAAAGAATTTTCTTTTCCTTATTATCTCATCAGCCCTTCAGCTCTCAGAGTTAGGGAGCAATCTATGCTATTAATATATTAAGTCTCATTATTGAGACAAAGGTGGGATATAAATGAATAAACAACAGCAGCAGCAGCTTTGGGGTGTAATTTATTTTTTTGGAAAAATATTAGTGTATTTTTTGTTGTTAGCTTCATAATACATGGGTGTGGGGGGACTTCTGAGTATATCATCTTTCCCCCCACAGTATGAAATAGTACAATTCAACAACAGCTCAATCACAGAGTGTTTTCACCTGTTGATTTTCACTCTTAGCACTGAGTAAACATGGTTAGGATCAATCTGTAAATATTTTCAAGGCTAGGAAGAGATAGACTGCATTTCCAATGGAACTGTGCATGGGAGGGGTACCATTATTAAGATCTACACCCCAGTGAGTGGTTATAGATTTTTAATTTGCTGTTTCTGTTGTCTGCCTTTTAATGCAGCATGCAGATGGGTTCCCTTAACTGTTTCAGTGCTATGAGCACATGGGCACATTTCCACAGGTTTAAGAAGGGAACTGGGAAATTGATTCAGCTATCACAGGACCTGGAATGTGGAATGTCAGTGGACAATATATATCAGGAATTTAAAACTGACAAGTTGAAAAACTCCTTATTAATTGTCCTCATAAGCAAATTTATGTTGTGGGCACCCCTCTGTGTATATCTGACAAGTAAAGGAAATGTGGATAAATGAATATTGTTAAATTAATAAGACATCTGTTATGTTGGATTAGCCATATTAGTCAGCCATGAAATTGTGTGACAGAAGTAATGAAAAATGTGCTTCACCTTGTGGTAGGTCATAAAACAATTGCTCAGATCCACCAACTACAAGGAGAGAACAATTTTTCTATCAAAAAAAGAGTTCTGTGGCATTCTAAGTACTAACATATTTTATATGTCAAAAATGAGAGATGGATATCATGCAGCCCTCCACTGAACGGCAACTCCCAACAGCCTTAGCCAACATAGTCAATGGTGAGAAATGTTGGGAATTACAGTCCAACTACATTTGGAGGGCTGCATTATTCCTATTCCAAGCTAATTAAGGTACATGGAATAGTCACCTAAGTGGGTAGGCATTCAGAACTTGGAAAAACTATTTTTCCAGCTTTTAGAATCTTCTGGAAAACTTGGCCAGTGGCCATCCTAGTTCATGGATTCTTAAATTTGTAGTCAGGAAGGCTATGTTTTTCAAGCTCTTGTAGGCATATAAATGCCAAACAATGTGAGAAGAGCATATGTATTTTAACAATGCATCAAAATGCTAAGCAATACAGAAGAGTCAATGGATGCAAGGTCCAGTAAATGCTTTGGCAACTGATTTCCAACAAGTAGCCACTGGTGATGAATAGCAAAATCAGGAAGCAAACACCTACTATCTAATTTGAACAAGATCAAGTTCATTATGGGCCTTTGCAGACTGCTAGAAATAATGCAGCTTGAGTCCACTTTAACTGCCCCAGTTCAGTGCTAGGGAATCATGGGAATTGTATTTTTTTCTGGGACATTGAGCCTTCTCTGTCAGAGAGCTCTGGTGCCACAATAAACTACAGTTCCCATGATTCCCTAGCACTGAGTCAGGGCAGTTAAAGTGGACTCAATTTGCACTATTTCTAGCAGTCTGCAAAGGCCCTATGTCTGATTTGCTAATGGATCTCAATTCCACATCTTCATGACTGAGGCTCCATTTAAAATGTTTTACAGTGAGAACACTTCAAGAGAGTAGAATGCTCCTCATCGGCAGTGGGGATCCTGCAACGGGTGTCACCTGGTGCAGGGGGTGGGGGACAAGACTTCTGGGCAGGATTTCTGGGGTTGGGGAAGCACCCATGAGGGGTGGAGAAATGGACACATGGGTGGAGGAAGCACCTCATGGGCTGTGGAAATGGCCGGCCACCATCCGTCCAGGTCAGCGACCCTCCCTCCCCCCGAGGTCTGGAGCAGCACCTGCGCAGGCCCTAGGACTGCCTGTGGGGGGGGGCAACCGAGTGTCACCCCCCTTCTGGGGTGTCACCCGGTGTGGCCCGCACTCCCCACACAACCCCAGGGGCGCCACTGCTCATTGGTTCCATGTATGGTCATTTTAATGTTGAATTTTTTAATGTTTCTGTTCTAAACAAGCAACTGGCTCCTTTATGTACTGAAGACACCCTGCTAGTAAATGAAAGTGAATCCTGAAACTTTCACAAGAACAGCTTGTGAAGCTTCAATAAGTGGGGCCGTAAATATCATTGTTAAAACTGTGACCTTACAGTTATAATCCTGCTCATGTCCACTCAGTTTGAATTGAAGTTTAGTTCAGTGAGATTCACTCTTGTGATATACTTCTATGTGATATCTTAAACACTAAACTAACCATGAATACAGGTTTCAGCAATGTTCATGCAAAATGTGATAACATAGTATAAATAGTGCAAATTGTTATCTTTCCCAAAATTAAAGTATCTACTAATCAAGATGCTGTTTTAGATTATCTGTTTTACATGTAAAATCTCTTTTTCAAGTAAAATCTCATTCACTTTAAATGTACAAATGTACATTCCATTGATTTTATTACAGCAGCATGCAAACAATACTTTTTCAAGATTTCTCCTGAATTTCAAAACTGTCTAAAAACTTAGGTGGATGAAAAGATGCGTACAATACTGTGCAGGATTCCTGCAAACATAAAACACCCGTAACACAATTGAAAGTGTTGGTTAAATGCATGGATCTGTCAGGCATACCCCTTTTGGTTTCTGGCAACATTTGCATAATTCCTCATGAGCTGTATCCAGGATAGTGGATTTGATTAAAAGATGTTGAAAGCAAGAAAATCTCTGGATTAACAGGAATATTGATGCAGCTATTTCTTTAGAATTGCTGGACTTGACCTTTCCAAGGAAGATTCTTATACTTCCTGAACAAATTTCTGTTGGGAAATCAGGTTGTCTCTGTGTGTTGTGTGCCTTCAGGTCATATGGCAACCCTAAGGTGAACCTATTATGGGGTTTTATTGGCAAGATTTGTGCAGATGAGGTTTGCCATTTCCTTCCTCTGAAGCTGAGACAGTGTGACTTGCCCAAGATGTCACCCAGTGGGTTTCATGGCCAAGCAGGTAATTGAACCCTGATCTCCAGAGTCATAGTTCAACATTCAAACCACTATATCACACTGACTCAAAAACCAGGTACCATTCCTTTAAAGAAAGAGACTTTTTGTGAGACAAAGAAATGTGTTGATAACAAGGAAAGGTGTGGCTTCATCTGTCTATGTTTCTCTGTCTACATTCTGTCACCCCAAGCTGCAAAATGCAAGGAGACTATTAACCCCCCCCCCTTATGCTGAGACATTATGCTGAGACAATTGCCCAGGGTAGGAGATTGCTATAAAATCACCCCTTTCTCTCTCTCTCTCTCTCTCTCTCTCTCTCTCTCTCTCTCTCTCTCTCTCTCTCTCTCTCTCTCTCTCTCACATGCACACACACATACATGCACAACTTACCCCCTAAGCAGACGGGCGGCCGTGGGCCATCCTGGGAAGGTGCGCCGTGGAACCGAGGCATCCCCATGCCTCGATCCAGCAGCGCACCATCGGCGCCCCTGGAAAGGAGCACTAAAATAGCGCTCCTTTCATACATCACCGAAAGTGCACCACAAAAGGTTGTGGTGCATTTTTGGCGACTTTGCCGCCGCAGCGTGTCCGGACGCTGCAACAGGAGGTCCTCCTCGGAGCGCCGGCCATGCGGAGAGCCGGCTGCTCTGAGGACGACCTCGGGAGGGCAATGGGGCGCCGAGCGTGCGGCTGCCCCTCCCCTTCCCTGCGCCAAGGACAGCCTATTAAGCCATCTGCTTAGGCCCTTAGTTGAGCCCATACTGCAATTCCAAAGAGTTTTGTTACTGCTTGATTCCTGTAAATTTGCCTTTGCATTTTCCTCGTCTTTCTTCAGTAATTGTTCCAAGTCTTTGCTATTATTATTTTTTTTTTGCAAAGCATGTTCCATTATTCCACGTATGTCTGAAATATGATCACTAGTGCCTCTTCCTGTCCTAAATCACCCTTTAGACATCTAGCATTTCTTTTTCCATAAATGATAAAGTCTTTGTTGTAGAACTTTGAGCATCATTTTGCTTGCTCGGGGAATTAAGGCAACCTGATGTCTTCTTTCTTCTTCAGGATTGGAATGTACATATATTGCATACTGAGCATTTGAGGGCTATTGTTTTGTTTTCCATATTTTTGTCAGATTTTAGTTAGAACTAGAATAGATTCTGTCTCAGTAACCTGAAGCAGCTTTATTGTTATGCCATCTGTTCATGCTGATTTATTTCTGTCAAGTGCTCTGAGTGCAACTTCCACTTCACTTTCTAAAATGGTAGGTTCATCTTCAAATGGTTCTTCCTTGAATGAATCTGTCATCCTTTCATCTCTTATATAGGTCTTCAGTATGTTGTTTCCATCATTTTTTAATTTATACTCAGTCATATAATGGGTTCCCCTGCTGGTTGCATAGCATCCTCATTCTTGATTTATATTTCACTTTGATTTATCAGGTCTTGAGGAAGGTTCTGTTCTTCCTTTTTTATTGTCATATTTTATTTCTCTGCACTGATTATTATAGTAGTTCCATTTGTCCCTATGCACAAGTCACTGAACAGTTGCATTCAGGATTCTGGGCCTATTTCTGTCAACTTTTACTTTTATTTCTTGTTTTAATTGCTTGAAGACTTTCATCTGTCATTCACTGAGGCTTCTCTTTCTTTCTGGGTGCAGATGGGGGGATGCAGATGGCAAAAAAAAATGCTGTCTTCAATCCCAGGAAGGGGAGGGGCTGCCAGGCACTGGGAGCTCCATCCCCTTCCTGAGGCGCCCGGCTGCCTTTCCCCTTCCTGAGGATGTCATTGGAGTGATGGCCCATCCGCACGACAGATGCGCCAATGACATCCTTCTGGCTCAGCGTCCAGACACACTGAGCTGGAAGAGACACCAAAGAGGTGCACCACACCTCTTGTAGCATCCCTTTTGCGGCTTGCAGAAGGGGTGCTATTTTAGCACTCCTTTCGCAGGCAGTGAAATGGAGAATCGGGGCCGAGGTGTCTGGCAGCCTCAGCCTTGATCCTCTGCTTTCGGGGGCAGCCCAGGGCTGCCCGTCTGCATCTCCCCATAGTGTCTTTTTGCATTCCTCCCTGAAAATGTCCAGAACTTCAGTTCAGAGTACTTCTAGGTCCTAGTTGATTAGGCTTGATAGTGTAAATCTGTTTTTATATTACCTTTACATTTTACGGGGATGCTCTATTTTGGTTCAATTATTTGTCTAGTGTTCATCTTTAGTTTTCCTCTGATTTTTGATATTAACAGTTTATTGTCTGGGTCACTATCTGCTCATGATGTTGTTTTTGCAGAAAGAATAGGTCTTCTCCATCTTCTATATTTACCATCCAGTGATGTCCATGTATATATTCACTTCATGAAGTGCTTGAAGAATGTGTTTGTGATGAACAAACTGTTGGCTATGCAAAATTCAGTCAGTGCTTCTCCTGCTTAATTTCTTAATCCTAGACTAGATTTTCCTACAAAAATTGATTCTGCTTTTTTCTACTTTTGCATTCCAATCACCTGCAATTAACATGTCCTGTGTTGGTATGTGGTCAGTTTCCTCCTGGAATACTGCAAAGAATCTTTTCTTCTTCATCTTCCTCTGTAGTTGGTGCATAAACTTGGATTTAGGTTATATTGATGGGTTTTCCTGAAGTCTTATTTACATAATTTGGTTGGACTTTGCATTATACCCTTTGATGCTTTTTGCTACATCTCTCCTCACCATTAATGCCATCCCTTTTCTTCTTAAAATTTCATTTTCTGAGTAAAACACTGTATTTATCTGACTAAAACTGTCCTGTTCCTGTCCATTTTAGCTAACTCACCCCAAGTATTGCATTTCTTGTTTTACCATGTCCAGTTTTTCCTGATTCATGCTTCTCACATTCCATGTTCCTATAACATGTGTTGTGCAGCTTCAGACTTTCCTTTCACCTCTGAACACATCAACAGCTATATATCCTTTCAACTTGAGTTCAGCTGTCCTCTGATGTAATTAGTATGTTGTTAAGTACCTTCCAACCTAGGAGTTGGAACTATATCATATTTCATTTGGGATTGTCTCATCATAGGGTTCTAATGTAAAAAGATATGCAAAAGGTGTTTACCATGCTTCCTTGTGCACAGTCCTAACAAGTGATAGCTATGGTGCTACTGCCATTGTTTCTGAAAGATCCTCAGCCAGTGTCACACCTAGTAGCTGTTTGGCACATATAGGGGGGAAGCAGACGGCGCTTTGGACAGTCTTCAAGGCAAGGAAGGGAAGGGGCAGCCTCACACTAGGTGCCCCAACCCCTTCCCATACACATCATCAGAGCGCCCATCGCTCCGCATGACCGGCGCTCCGATGACGTACTTCCGCCGCAGCGTCTGCACACACTGCAGTGGAAGAGATGCTGAAGGTGCGCCCAATGCCTCTTGCGGTGCACCTTCGGTGTCTTGCGGAGGGAGTGCTATTTTAGCACTCCTTCCAGGGCCTGAAAAGCTGCAGATTGGGGCTGAGGAGTGTGGCTACCTCAACCCCAATCCGCAGCTTCCCGGGGTGACCCATGGCCGCCTGTCTGCTTAGGCTTCTCGTTACTCAGCAAAAGCCTGACTGACTTGGAAGATCTTACCAGCACCATTGCTTCCATCAGCATGGCTTCTTGCCTCACAGAAACAAGCAATCCCATTATGGTGTAAAGGTAGTGCCATTGGAGGGATGGTCTCTGTAACCAGTTCCAAATAGCAATCTGGCTGAAGTTCTTTGACCCAATTAAAATTTATGAGGACTTTCAAATCCCTAATCCCTAATTTCATCTCAACTTCTAGTGAGGAGTAGCAATGGAAACTTAATTAATTAATCAATTCTTCCTCCAACTTGTACACAATGTAGAGAATGAAATCTACCATCTATGTGCATACCTCTAAACAGATAAGCCAAGTAGATGCATTGCATGAATATGCCATATGTGCACTTGCATGATAAGAATCCTAAGGCTACATCACATGGTATGGTTGTTCACTATCTTCTTCATGTTGGTGGTGTTCATCATATTTCCTGTTGCTTGCTTCAATGCAAAAGGTTATACAACCTCATAAGCAATCCATTTTTTTCTTGAAGGAAAACAGGTAGGTTCTCTGACCCAACAGATTTCAAATTTCAGAATTTAAAATTCAATTGTTTGACTTTGAGATCATCAATAGGAAAATAAGTTACACTATTGACTTATAAGTATATATGCTTCTGCTTTTACAGCCAAAGGACACATCACCAACATCCACTGTCATGTTCAAACAACTTGAGTATTCATTCTGAAGTTTCATTACATCCATCCCTTTTATTATTATGCAACTTTAGTTAAAAACAAAACTAAAGAAATACATGTTTCATGATTTTCCTTATCTAAAGTGATTAAAACTTGTGAGTGCAGATGAAAGGATTTAGCCTTGCTGATGTGGTGGTTTTAACATGTGACATGTTTTAACATATGACCCCCCCCCCGTGCCCTAAGGTCCTCTGAGAAGAGTCTGTTATAGCCAATAAAAACTAGGCTGTCTCAGACCTCCCAGAGGACCTTCTCTGCAACTGCTTCCAGGCTATGGAATGGCCTGCTGGATGAGATTCGTCTTATTACCACGCTTACTGCCTTTAAGAAGGCAGTGAAGACGGATCTCTTCTGGCAGGCCTTCCCAGATTAATATCCCTGTAATATATCTGCCCGGGGAGATGAGCTTTCTGCTAATCTACTTCCTTATTGCTTGTGATTATTTGAGTGATTACTTGTATTGGTTTTATTCTATAGTTTTTACTATTTAATGTATTTTAACTCTTGTTTGT